CTTTGTATTTCTTTTCTTTGTATTATTTTCTTTTTCTGATTTCAGTTTGTATCATCTTTTAGTATTGTAAAACTATTTAATTAAAAAGTATATCTTTAAAAAAAGAAATATTCCTGTCACCTTACTAACAATATATGGACATCTTAAAATTTTCTATCATTCCCATCTTTAATAAACATTCTACCAAATTCATTTATATGCACTAGTTTTTAGTGCATGCATATATAACTTGCAATCATTCACTCTATTTTCTATGTCAAGTAAACTATCTTCAGCTTTGTTATGTTAAGTTTTCAGCCACCATCATAGCATCATCTGCATACAAAATAAACATGCATTCCCACCAACCTATCCCTAATGTCATACAAGCAATCTTTACACTGTACATTTATCCATAAATATGTTAAATAATCAAGAGGACATCTGACTTCTTTGTCTTATTTCCCACTCAGTCTCAAACTATTTGCAAAGTGTTTCATTATGTACATACTTCCATCATATACCACTCTAATGCATTCAACAATCACCCTTTAAATCCCTAAATGTTCAAAACAGTTTATCATACTGTTTCTCTCAGTCAACAGTTAACTTTCTCATGGTATCGACACAATTTTGAATAACAGAAAGATTATTGAGCCACTCTGCACTTTTCAATTTTGCTCATTGATATAGCTTCAGTCAGAATTCTGCCCAATACACTGTAGCCTTACCATTTTTCAACATTTTGGCAGCATTTGTAACTTCTTTTTCATCTTTATTTTCTTGGGCACTAATATGTATCTCATTTGTTACAGTTCTATTCTTTGACATATCACTATCCTTCCTGTACAAATCCCTTAAATGCATCTTTCACCACTTCCTCAATTTCAGTTCCATTCCAAATAATTTCATTGCTTTTATTTGTAATCGTATTCACTCGGCAGTGGGTTCCTTATTTAATCCTTGCATGCACTTCCAAAACATTTTAAAAATGTTTACCAAAATCTTTCTGCCTCTTTTGATTTTAACCTTTCCTTTTCCTCTTTGACTACCTTTTATTTACTGTATACACATATTTTTGGTATATTTCTCTCATTTCATTTTTGCTGCAGCCCTTCAGGGAGAAGGTTAGTAAGGACGAGTGTGCTATCAAATACCCAAATTTTTACTGTAAGAGCGCTGCATAACTTCGGGCATGGCTTGTAACTCCCTTAATTAAGCACCGTCATAATTTTGAACAGTCACTAAACAAGCAGTTGTTAAGTGAGGACTGCCTGTATCCTCACCCTGGCATTTTAGATGTACCGAAACATCTACTTTACTCCTGCTTGTCCTCTTATTTTCATTTCTTCCAACTTTCCCAACATTACAGACTTCTCAAGAGAACTGGTTCCTTGCATTTTGTGTCTAAAATATCGTAGCTTGAACTCTGGATTGATTTGTTATAAGGTCAGATTGCTTGTCTTCTTGGATATCTATAGTATTCACAAATGTCTTTTCCAATATTAAAATGCAAAAGTGACAATATTTTTTCTATCCTGTTCCTGTTTCCTCTATGTCCAGTTTTTTTTTTATGTATCATGCTTTTAATACAAACTTAAAAAAAATCTGGAACAATAGAAACTGTACAGATTTGATCAACCTTTGTTGTTTTTAACTAAATCTTTAGACATGCCAATATCCTGTTCCAAAATATTGCACAACATTCCGAATACAAAACGCTGATTGTATTCCTCCTTTGCTAGAGAAAAAAAGAAAAAAGAACCCCACCCCCTCTGAATCCCTACTCAATGGCCCTCTGCCTGTAAAAAACAAAACAAAAACAAGAAAACCAAAGAGACGAACAAGAACAGCATGGACCTCTGCATTAAAAAACATACATAATTATGTCCTCTTTGTGTTCATCCGTCCACTTTAGATCACGTTATTGATTCACTCTTCAAAAAGGGTCAGGAAGGAGGGAAGCAAGGGAAAAAGGAGCTTTCACTGCTGCTTTTTTAAAATTTTCCTGAAAAAATATTTTTCTCTCCTCTAAGAAAAAATTTTGAAAAGAAAAGTTTCATTTTGTAGGTTAGAAATATACATATATTATATATACCTCTTACATTTTACAAATGTAGAAAATTATTCAATATAAACAGACAACAAAAAATTAACACAAACCCATAAAAATAAAAGTTTAAAAAATATTTTTTCTTCCTATGAAACCAGGTAAATTAGTGCAGGTCTTAAAAATAAAATTGCAGCCAAACATCCAACTCTTGAGACAAGAAGACCAAAAAAGAGGCCGTGAGTTTCATTGTTGTCAGCACTGGAAATGCTTCTGAAGCACAGTTATATGTTGCTTTAGGAAATAGAGGTTGGTCCCTCCCCCTTTCTTCCTTGTGCATGTAGACTTCTTTACCAAAAGCGTGTATAATAAAGCAGTGTCAAACATTGCAGTGTCAAACATCACAAACTGCAGGTGCTAAGTGAGACTTCCTCCCTATTATTCTAAACCTTAGAAGGGTATGCATATAATCCCTAAAAGCAGGTTTGTTTTGGACGTTTTTTTTACGTCCAGTTTTTGTATTCATAGGGTATCACAGGAAAAACCTGCCACAATTTTGATCCTTATAGGTATAGACAGAATACAGCGCCTGAATATCTTTTCCAAGATCATCAGTGATACCCCACTAAGTGCTAGTCTGCAGGGTGTTTCTTTGACTACTGGTTCTTGTACTATTAATAGCCAATTCTTAAAAGCAGAGGCTATCCATCAATTCAATTGTCAGTTCTAAAGCCGATTGTGGTACCTGTTGCTTTTAGTTTGGTCTTTATATTTAATTATAGTTCCTTTTTTCACTGTGCTTCCTGGACTTTCATTAATAGACATTGCAGATCATTTGCAATTCCATCTATCAGAGTAATGTCACCAACATAGCACAGGTAATTGCTTCATCCATGTTTAAAACCCTGCTGATTTTGTTTCAATCCAGCCTCCCTCAATATATTTTGAATAAAGAAGAGAAGAGTATATAACCTTGTCTCATTCATCTGCTGCAGCAGCGTGTTTTGTGATATTTTATGTGGACTATCTTGTTCATAGGTTTATTTCCTGTAGTCTTCTAAAATGGTTTAATAATAATTTATTGCTCCCAGCAACTCTGGGTGGTTCAAATTGTTAAAAACATTTTAGAACAACAACAACAACAACATCAACAACAACAATATCCTCCCTAAAACAAATAGATCTAGAGGGGAACAAAAAAGAAGAAAAGGGAGAGGTCAGTCATCCTATCCAAAAGTAATGACCATTGTACTGATATAATTTTAGTTCCGAGTACTAGAGGTTTTTTGAATAAAAAATATATTCTAAAGTGTCTTGAATGTTGACATGTATATTGTACAGTATTTCATTATACTCCTTCCATTTCTGTTTGATTTTTTTTGTCCAATCAGTTTGAGGTTGAAACCTCTTTAGTAAGAGTTTCCTTATTTTTGTGTGTCTGTTTCCATTTTTGATGTCTTCACAGATGTCTTTGTAATACTGTTCTTTGTCCTTTCCAACAGCATTCTGAAATTCTTCGTTAAGTTCCTTCCTAAAATATTAGTTTTTTGGGCTTTTAGTTTTTCTTCTGTTCTTGGCAATTTCCACCATTTGTTCTGAAATCCAGTTTGCTTTTTTCTGTTTCTTGGTACTGGGCAGTCTCTTTTCATATTTATCCTTAAAAAATTTGATCGCATTCCATAGTTCATCTAATTTTCTGTCAGTGAGGATCAGGACCTCAAAGCGATTACTGAGGTTCTCCTTGAAAACAGCAAACATTTTGTGAAAACGTTTAGTTTTAGCTTGACTGGAGTTGACACATGAGCAATCATAATCTCTTCCATAATTAACCCATGGCCAAGTGTAGAATGTCAAGAGGATGACCTTGATATAGAGAGGAGTGATCTGTTATCAAACCAGCAAAGGTCAAAATATGGTTTAAGTCAAAAATAAGAATGTATGTGTAAATGTCTCATCCTTTAACTCATGAATATAACAATGGGAGGAAGTAAGGCATAATCAGGCTTGCAAGATTCTGTTACTGTAGTGCAGGGATCTTCAAACCTGTCCCTTTTATGACTTGTGGACTTCAACTCCCAGAATTCCTCAGCCAGGAATTCCTCTGGGAGTTGAAGTCCACAGGACATAAAAGGGCCAAGTCTGAAGACACTGGCTGTAGTGCATCTGAATAAGAACATGAAATTTCTTTGCTATTATGTCTTGAGATGTCTAAAGAATGTGATAACAATTAATACATCTCCAGATTGGCAGAAAATGATGAATTGTTCTCCTAGTTCATTTCTGTTCCTAGATCATTCAGCCCAATTATGTTATCCTCTGTACTATTTCCAGCCTTGGCATTCCTTTATCATGCTTGAATGTTGCCTATTTCAGATTGAACCTGGCCATAAAACTTGCCATCTTCCTCTTTTTTCGTATCAATTTTTGGAGCATAAACTTGGATAACCATCATATTAAAGGATTGTATTGTCTGACTTAACTATATCCTTCCCGGCAGTCAAAGAAATGATGTTCTTTTTCTGCTTTTTGTGTTCTGAGTAATATAAATAGTATGATCTTTTGATTGAATGTATTCCTCTCCATATTGCCTAAGTTATCAACTTTAGTCAATTCATTTCACCTTTCACTGTTTTGAACTTCCTCATGTTCATTCTTCTTACATTCTATGTAATTCTGTTTGCAGCTTTGGGTTTTATTTTCCTGCATGGCAAGATTAGCAATTGGATGGCCAGAAGTCTTTAACCTAACCACATCATGAATCCCCTTAGCATTCCAGAAAATCCTCAGGTCTTCCTCAGTACCTCTCTCTCTCTCTCTCTCTCTCTCCTCCTCCCTCTCTCTCTCTCTCTCTCTCTCTCTCTCTCTCCCTCCCTCTCTCTCTCTCTCTCTCTCTCCTCCTCCCTCTCTCTCTCTCTCTCTCTCTCTCTCTCCCTCCCTCTCTCTCTCTCTCTCTCTCTCTCTCACACACACACACACATATCTATCTATCTATCTATCTATCTATCTATCTATCTATCTATCTATCTATCTATCTATCTATCTATCTATCTCTAACTCTCATCTATAATGTATCCATTCTAGTGGAGCCTGGCTTGTTCATGTTCAGAGTTTTGTTTGTTATTGTCCTCCTAAATCTCATGCCTTCATCCCCCAAAGACTGTGTCAATGGCAAAATCAGGCAGGAGACAGGAACCTGTCATAATGCCAGCATTCAAAGTTTCAACTAACTTCTCCTAATTAGGAAAGTTTAAAAGAAAGTTTTCCATTTGAATGCTTCCCCCCCCCCAAAAAAAGAAACTTGAAATGTGTCATCACAGCGGTATGCTAGGCACAATTCTTCCAACTTCTCTCCCCCCCCCCAGATCCTCTTGAAATCTTTCATGTTGCATAATAAATGTCATGCAAGTTATGACTGTCTGGTAACTTGTCATTAGTGGAATGAAGGTTCTGACTTAACATGAAATCAATTTTTTTTTTTTAAAAAAAAGCCAAAATCATGTTATGGTGTCCAAATAATGTTCCATATCTATAAGAAAAATGGATGTTTAATGATCAACACTGCTTCCACTTTTACTAATTAAGTCATAGAAACCCAGGTTCCTCTCCAATCCTTGTTCATTTTTCTCAGTCTAAGAACAGATTTTACATCCTAGGTTGCAAATGTGGAAATGTTCCTTTTTAAATATGGACTGACAAGGCAAAGAGTTAGATCTGCCCAAACCTAAGATCTTGAGGGCCTCTCTGTACTGGTGACCTCTCTTCTTGGGTTGTGGGTGTTATCCTCACTGAAATAGTGGTCCATCTGCTGTCATTCTCTGGATTTTTTTTTTCAGCTTCACGGTTTCCTTGCTGTTCACAACTCATGGTGCTGAATATTTTTTTCTTGGTTCCTTTAACTTCTTTATCCCCTTCTTTGAGCCTCACAACCTAGTCCAGTGATGGCGAACCTTTTAGAGACCGAGTGCCCAAACTTCAACCCAAAATGCACTTATGTATTGCCGGGTGCCAGGTGAGTGTGGCCCGCCGGGTGGGCATGGCTACAGTGCTCATGGCAGATGGGTGGGTGTGGCCAGAGTGGGCGTGGCCAATGTTGTTCTTGGGGAGGGATGCCGGCAGGGTTGGGGGAGATCCAGGGGTCTCTGGCGGTGGGGTGGTGGGTAGGAGACTGTGGGGTGAGTGAGGCAGGGCGGGGGTGCCATGTCGCAGGGCAAGGCGAGACAGGGGCCGGGGTGGCTGCTGCCTGACACCATCGGCCCCCACACACAAAGGCCAGCAAGTGCATGGGTGCTGGGATGCATCCAGCCACGTGGGACCTCATCAAGTTAGTGGGCGGCTGATTGAAGAGGGTGGTTGCCATCTCTGGGGCATGGCATGTGTGCCCACAGAGAGGGCTCCGAGTGCCGCCTCTGGCACATGTGCCATAGGTTCACCACCACTGACCTAGTCATTCCTAGCCTCTGGAGAGGCACAAATGACAAACTTTGTATTCCAATTACAATAATGTTTGCTCCCTTCTTTCAGGAAAGATGTCTACTCAAGAGTGTACCAACGAGCTAATGATGATGCAGAATGGCCGGTACTATGGATTTATCAAGAAAAGATGTAAACTACCATCCCTGAAACAGACATAAATAAGTAATTTATACTCTAGCTCTTTTTAAAAAAGTATTTGGGTTCCTTAATTACTCCGGTCCATACTGTAATCTCAATGTGACTTGTCTGTATTTGTATCTTGGCTAATTTTTCTTTAGCAGCTACAGACATTCCACCCACCAGGATGTTCCTAGAAACACTTCTCACAACATCCTGATTTTATTAAAATTTTCCATGCCATCCTCAATTGTGTGTGAACCAACCCCAAAGATTTTGCTTCTTTTAAACGTCATTGCATGTGCTTCCTCAGCAAAAAGTCTCCCAAATAATTTTCCATTTTAATTTCAGGGCAAAATTAGGTGATGAACCTCAGACGTTATTGCACTTGGACACAAGGAACTGGGAGAATAAACAAGGTTTCCAGCAAAAAGGTGAATTCTGTAAAGGGTTTATTCTAAAGTAGCAAGGCAAGCGGTTATGGAATCCAAATGCTTGTGAAAATGTTTTGACTAGCCATTGGGAAGATGAAGCTTATTCTAAGAATGGTGGCAGGCTGGAAAAAGTTGTTTCAAGGTATGTAGGACAAGATAGACATTTATTGAGTTGTTTTGTGTGGTGGCTGTATGAAGGTATTTCTAGTGATATGGAATGTTTTTGGAGCTGAGGATGCATAGACCAAGAGAGGTCAAAGCAGGTTCATGCTTCTGGCTGTGACTTGAAATTGAGGATCTGGTAAATCCCTTCTACTCCTGATTCTACAATTCATTTCTAACAGAAACAAAGTGTCACAGCAAAGATTTGAACATGTTTGTAGATGCTCTGCTCAGAGAGCTGGGATAATGCACTGGGGAAATAAGTGTAAATGAATGCTGGGGAGAAAGAGTGTGCATGAGAGAAAAAAACTTATTTCATCAAAAGCCAGGAGTCTGGAGCAAAAAATTAAATGGAATAGAACAGTGCAATAACAGTGTTTCATCAGTCAGCAGGCAAGATCCATGGCACCAAATATTTTGGCTTTGAGACTAATTTTGTAAGCCTTGATAGCCTGCCAAAACCCAATAAATAATTCGAAGGGAGCCTGGGGTTGTATGACTTTTGAGTAACAAACCAGAAAAGAAGTTGCTTTTGGAAGGAATCCTTGCTGGCACCATCCTGCAGTCATGTTAGCATGGGGGGACAGGCAGGGAGGCTGGTCATGTAGGGAGCGCATTCCATCTGGCTTCATAAAATACCAATTATCAGTTGCAATGTGAGAATGAGACAAGATGATCTGCAAGAGTTTGTTGCAGGCTTTCAGAAAATCTATACAGGCAAGTGATGAGGACTAAGAAACAAAAGGTCACTTTTACCTGGCCTAAGCAAAGATAGTAGGTAGCATGGGAGGACCGTGCCCTTTGGAAGCAATTTGGCAGACTGCATTTAAAGGATGGGTGGGGATTTGAGCACTTGATTTATCAGGCAGATCTCAAATCTCAAACTGTGTGGAGTATTTTTTCTCTCTTCCTGACATCCCTCTGCTTTCCTGATACTCTCTTCTTTCTCTCTTTCCTTCTGCACCACCAGAATGGATCAGATTAATCTCCCCAGAAGTCTGAACTAATTTTCTACAGAATATTGTAAAATCTAAGCATGTTCAGTTGGGTTGAGGCTCTGAGAAATTAGCCAGAGAGCCAAATGTAGCCCCAAGATCATTGGCATAGCAGGATTATAATTCAGTTTGATGTAGCCTGCTCAGAACTACATAAAGCATGTAAAAAAAAAAAAGGATGAGGTTTGAACACATGATTCATGGCATTTTCTATTTTGACCCTTGTGGATGCCTTTTTTTAATGCATAATAAAGAAGATATTTTTTGAAGGTTTTCTAACTCCAAATCTTACCATGACAATCAAATAACTTCACTATTGTGTTTTTGTGGGGTGAGAAACCATTGATGAGAGGAGCATTGATTATTATGACTCTTTTCATTTGAATGAAATGAAATCATAACACCTACATTTAGACAAAATGCACACACATGCATGTGCTTATTCAGTTTATAAGGAAATAGGGTCTGTGTGGAAAGAGAAGTGAGGAAGTTACATGCAACCAGCACCAGTAATTGTAAAGGAAGACATGAGAAAGCTCAAATCATAGAGAAGTGGAAGGAAAGAAACAGCATAGAGGAGGAGAATAGAGAACAATGGTATTCTCTCAGAGGACTTCTCCAGAATTGCTAGCCAGCAAATCAATGAAGATTCTCAGTCATCCAGAGTTGTCTGGAAGTTGAGTCAGGGCAACTGAACTTCTTTTCAAGGCGAAGAAAAAGAATGATGATGAGGAAGAGGAAGTCTAGTTTCCATGACTCAACTTCCAAATACTAGCCAATAAGGTTGATTAGACGTTCTCAAAGTTATAGGTGTAAGACATTTGGAGGACACAGATTGAAGATGGCTGAACAAAAGTGAGACTGTAGAGTCCTTGGTGTTCTCTGAGCTTGGTTGTTTGCTTGCAGACATTTTTCTACCCAGTTAGGTAACATCTTCAGTGCTAGAAGGGAATGGAGTTTGCTCTCCTTTTTAATGTACCAGTGGCTTGTTCTGTCAGTGCTGATGGGAGATTTGTTGAGACTCAAATCTCCAACAGAGACTCATAATAGATAAGGAAGAAAAGCTTTGAGAAGGCATTTAGCAGCACATCAGGGCCTAGACTAGCACATTAATTATATTCCCAATCTAATTATTCTAAAATGAATAATTAGTATAGGCTTACAAACAAACCCCAAATATCATATATATTAAAATCAGAGCCCTTTATTCCCTGCCCAAAAGATCCAGTGTCTATATACTGTAAATTTACTCATGTATGAAAGTACTATTCTAAAATAAATGACTGTGGTTATATTAGAACATCTGATAGTTATTATCATGTGGCTTTTTACTCTTGATTATAGAGTTTCTTGCCAGACTTATGGATTCTTCTAATGGAAGAATCTATACATTAGCAAGAAAAACTAATGAGAAGGTGAATCAATGAGGAACTTCAATAATTATTAGCAGGGGAAAAATGAATATCCTTAGTAGAGAAAAACTTTTACAATCCAAAATGGCTCTCCTATACTATGAAAAATAGATTTGTTTTAATGGGTCAACAAAATTATCATTGCTTTCCACATCATTAGATGCTTAACAAGAGGAGTAATTACATAGAAACTTACATATACACGTAGTGAGTGCCACGTAAAGATCATGAAACAAATCTGTTGTTGCTATCTTTTTATACCAGGCTAACTATATTTTCTGTATTTATGAATCAACCTTATATAATTGCCCATCTCACAAAATATGACTCTGATTGGACTAGTTTTCTCTGAATTTATTAATAGGATCATTTGTTTCAAAAGTACCATGCCATTTGTTTGTGCACACTGCTGCTTTTATATTTTTGTGATTGTTTTTATTGTGCTATTCTATAATTTTAGTGGTAAAGTTTGGAAGAATTGCTATCATGTTTTAAAAATCTCTCTTGCATCCTGCTTTAGTCTCCCAGGATGAAGGCTGGGATGAAAATACTTCAAACAAACAAACTAGGTAAATAAAATGTAATCCAAAACTGGAGGTTTTCTCTCCTCTTTCCTTTGTGACTGAAGTTTGTGCTTTTGTTGTTTTGCTGTTGCTTAGTTTCATCCTGAAGAATTATTCTGGATGCTAAAGTTTTCAATCAGTTATAGCTGGTTTTTGCCCTGATATCCTGAATCATTTGTGTCAATTTATCAATTTATCCTAAAGTAAGGATATATAACCATTAATGTCATCATGGTTAAAGAGTAGAACACAGTATTCCCCCCCCCCCCTTCCTCTTGCAATTATATCTGGAGGCAGAATGAGATAATGATTGCAAGGTATCAGTGAATTCCATGAAGACTTTCCTTTAGTTCAGCTGTGCTTTGCTGGCTGTAGGGCAGTTATAGCTATTAAGAAATGTCCTGGATTCCATTTAATAACCGGATTCAGTCATCACACCAAGTTGCTAATGTGGTTGATTTGATTTGCATTAGCTAGTTGGACAAATGCCGCCATCAAGGCTTATGTAATATGCAGTGGTGGGATTCAAATATGTGAACAACCGGTTCTCTGTGTGGATGCCACTTCCAGAAGTCCGTTCTGGGCCTGGGCAACAAAAAATTATCTACTGATTCTGCCAAACTGATGCGAACCGGCTGAATCTCACCACTGATAATATGGTTAAGATGAATCATGGCCAAGTACTATTTATGTACCAATCAGTCTATCAACTGCTTTCCCTCATTCGCTTTCCCATAATGCGAGCTTATGTCTTGAATTTCAAACTGCCTCTTGGTGTTATCTTTGCTGTTACCAAAGAGACCCTGCATATGCCTGCACACGCCTCCTCTCTGATTTTATCTCTTTGTAACCCACAGCACCATCGTCCATTACCTGGGTTAAAGACTGATAGAAAGCACTTGAAAACACAATCAGTGTTATCTAAAATGAAGAGATGCTTATTCTTTGCTGGTAAGAGGGTTTTATTTCCCAGAAGATGGAACCCTGGGTTGCAACTTAAAAAAAAAACAACTTAAAAAAATGTTTTGGCCAGTTCTGACTGGAAACTAGAGGATGTTATGTAAAAAGAGCAAATTAACATCATAGCAGGGGGCAGAAGTCTCTGTCAGAATTCAGTTGAACTCACATTCCAATCTATAAACCTTAACACTTTTGTTAGAAAGATGGAAGCTATTTCTCATACTGAAGAGGTTATCCTTAAGAAAAAAAAGTATGAAAAATAATTATGTAAATAATAATGTAATAATATTGAAATTATGCCTGGCCATCAAGTAGGATATAAATGTAAGATTCACACAGAGAGCATTAGTATTACTACTATAAGTATCCTTTTCAGGTCATAGGTCCAATTGAAACAGAAGTAATACAAGTAGAGGTATGTTTTCCTGCGGGATACTGTATTAAACCTATATGTCCATTCTAGTTTTTCTATTTTCTTCAATAAGCGTCATACATCATTTCCTGGCTACTAAGCATTTTCAACCCACTTCTAGAATATTTCTGTCTAGACATGTTTATGTACATCTTTTTTTTTTCACCTCCCCTTTGTTTAAGATAAAATACTTCGTCTACTGTGGTATACAAATTTCACTGTTTCCTTGAGAATATATCTTTTCAATATATATGTTTCTTATTTGCCCCGCTTTGGCTCCAGTTCAATCACTACTCATTGCCTGAATTTCCTATTAATGATTAAGAAAAGAGACGTGCACATTTGATAGTCCTAATGGTGATGTTATCTTGAATCATATCTTTATATATTCAGAAATGACAGCACTGGTCATTTACTAAGATCCTCCTTATGAATAGTATTATTATGACGAGATGCTTAAGAATTGTTTCTTTTTGAATATATGGCAAAATAACAAAAAGAAAAAAAAACATAATTGGAATAATAGAATACCACAACTAAGAAGCATAATGGAAACATCAAAGAATGTGCTGCAAGCAGCTAAAAGGAAAAAAATGCTGAGCCTTTAATATGTGCATGCTTTGAAGAAAAAAATATGTATGAATCCTAAAAGGATTATGTTCAGAATTTCAAAAGTCCTGACCTGATTTTGATTTATTACTAATTAAATGCAAGTCTGGTATTAAACACCAGCTCTCTCTACCTGTTGATGAAATTCTGACATGAATCAGATTTTAGAATACAGGTCATCCTCCCCATTGACTTTGCTTGTCAGAAAGTGGCAAAAGGTGATCACATGACCCCAGGGCACTGCAACTGTCGTCAATATGAGCCAGTGGCCAAGCGTCTGAATTTTGATCACGTGACCACGGAGATGCTGCAGTGGTCATACGTGCAAAAAAGGGTCACCTTTTCCAGTGCCATTGTAACTTCGAACAGTCACTAAATGAACTGTTATAAGTCAAGGACTACCTGTAATGAATTACTAGTACACAAAGGTTCAGCTATGAGTTGCTTAGATTTGTTAGTGGGAGATCCGCCAACAGATACTAAAATATACCCAAAGTATATTTTGAAGGAATCATCAAGTTGCCTTTATGCAAGACACAAGTACTGTAGCATCCTTCCAGTTTTCTTTTCTGCTAGGTAGCACTAAATGTTTTATTGCTTCACACTCGAAGTGACGCACAACCATTATGATAAATAACCATGCTGCATGAATCTCTCTAATCTTTGTTTTTTAAAGTGCCCAAGTTTATGGCCATTACTATACTTCTGAAAGTCCATTCTACAAGCTGAGAGAAGACATAGTTCCCTTGTCTAATTCTAAATTACAATTTAGACAAGAATTCTAATTCTTGTCTAAATCTATTCAATTTCAATAGATCACCCCTAGATTCTAATATCATGAGAAGAGAAAAGATTTTACCTTATCTATTTCCCTACTTTCTGCCCACAGTTTCAGAATCTTGATTATATTTCCCATTTCTTGTTTTTTTTATAAGCTTGATCAACTTTAGCAAGTTATTTTTTTTCCCCTCAGAGTACAGCTGCTCCAAGCTTTTGATTGCTCTGCTTAGGCTTTTCAGAATAATTCCAGCCCTATGATATCCATTTTGAGGTGTGATAAAGAAAAATATTCACAGTGTGCTAAGTGGGATTGCATCATCCATTTATATAACGATATTACATATTGGCTGTTTTATTTTCAGTTCCAGCAGCTGAACACTGAGCTCTCCGCTACTCTATCACTCCAAGATCTCTGTGGTGACTGCTGCTTTAGATGTCTATTTGCACTCAAGTGCAGTATGAATGTTTGTATACTTCCCTGCTAGAAACAGCGCGCAAAAATACTTCTGCAGCTCATAGCTGTCTTCGTTAATCTCTCCACCCCCACAGAACATTGGAAAGTAATTATGCAATGGCGTTCTGTCTATCTGTCCATCAGTAGAATCACTCTTCCAAGCAGTACAGAAGAGCAAAACCAAATTTGATACGGTGGGAGAACTCAACAAAAGAAAGGTGGGGTTTGAAGATAGACTAGATCAGGGGTAGGCAACCTCGGCTCTTTTATGACTCATGGACTTCAACTCCCAGAATTCCTGAGTCAGCTATTCTGGGAGTTGAAGTCCATGAGTCATAAAAGAGCCGAGGTTGCCTATCCCTGGACTAGATCCTTCCATGCATCTCTGCTGGAGTGGCGATTGGGCAGGGACTCCGAATGCTGCTGACTCACCCATTATAAACCCCCTTTTTTTCTCCCAGCTCACATCTCCAAATGTAGGCAGCCTGCACTATGCTTCACAGAGTGTGCACACCCACATACCACACATGGATATGCAACCTGTGAAGAAAGGAGACACATACATGCACACCCAAACTCAACAGAATATTTCATTACCACAAAGAAAATGCAGATGTCTCCTATAATCATGCCTGGGAAAGGGGCTATTAAAAAAAAAAAGGTCAATGTTTCCCCTGTATAGTCATGTCTGACCTTGGGGAGGGTGTGTGCTCATCTCCATTTCTTAGCCGAGGGAGCCAATGTTGTCCAAAGACGTTTTCATGGTCATGTGGCATGACTTTATGCTGAATGCTATTATCTTCCCACTGAAGTATATCTATTAATCTACTTGCATTTGCATGCTTTCAAACTGCTAGGTGGGCAGGAGATAGGGCAAGTACCGTGCTTGGATCTTGAACTGCCAACTTTCTGGTCAACAAGCCCAATGCCTTAACAGTTTAGCTATCCTAAATAATCTTGCATTATAAGCAAACATCGCCATTTTGCCACTCATCCCTAACTAACTCTACAATATGATGCCTTTTGAGAAACTTTTTGACAATCTTTAAAATCTCTGAAAGGCTGGAGAAGTTTGCAGAAGCCATGTTGCTCCTTTACCAGCCTATTCTTTTTTCTGTTTGGCAATTTAATCATTAATAATGTTTCCTGTCCAGTTACCCAGATACATGGATCTCTTTTTTAAAAAATGGTGATTTGTTGGTGGTTTGATTGTTTTCTGTTTGTTAGAAAGACTGTTGTAGGGTGATCATACGAATCCATAATTCAGAGTTTTTCCCTTGCACTTTAACGTGGATCTTCTGCTGGAAAATTATACGGATAGAATAGAATAGAATAGAATAGAATAGAATAGAATAGAATAGAATAGAATAGAATAGAATAGAATAGAATAGAATAGGACCTTGGAAGTCTTCTAGTCCAGCCCCCTGCTCGAGCAGGAGAACCTATATCATCGTAGACAAGTGACTGTCCAGCCTCTTCTTTAAAAACTCTAGTGATGGAGCCCCCGCGATTTCTGGAGGAAAGCTGTTCTACTGGTTAATTGTCCTCACTGTCAGGAAGTTTCTCCTTAATTCCAGGTTGTAACTGAATAGTCCAACACCAGAATTGCAGGAGGGATAATTTCCCTCATTGTTGTTTCTCTCACCAAGGGGATGAAGCTGAGACTCTTGCAGTTTCTTTTAATCAAGTCTTCTACCAGATCTTTAGAATGCTACATTGTACTGCTGATTTTGAAATTCTGGTCACAGGTATCCCAAACATCTATGGGAATAAATCTGTCTGGTTCTCTGGAACTCCTGAAACAAGATTGAATGTCTATAAATAGGAGAGCAGCTCTCTTTCCATTTCCCTTGTTTATTTATTTTGCAAACAATTCTTTAAAAAGAAATAGGGCAAACTCCAATATCAAAACTCTCTCAGAGAGAAGAGGTGTTTTGGTAGAATTGTTTGCACTTAATGGTGAAGAGCCCAGCTCCAAGACGGTGTTTCCCTGACAACCAGAAAATAGGAGGCAATGAAAATGGGAGGGGAGAGTTGACTTTTGGAAGATGTCATTACCTGTGTCTGTTAAAGCAGAAACTGATGTGTAATTTCTGGTGGCTTATTAGAGCAATGTGGCCTTTGTCATCCTAAACTGCATCTTGAGGGTCATTTCTTCACTGTTTCCCATTTTCATTTCCTAATTTTTGTTATTTCCTGGTGAAGAAGGTATGTGGTAACTTGGTTTTCTTCTGTGAAATAACATACCTCCCTCGTGATCTAAATGTTAGATCTCTTAGAAGTAGAAAAGAGAAATTTTAGGCTCTAGTCAGTGGGTCTTAACCTGTGGGTTGTGACCCCTTTGGGGGTCGAACAATCCTTTCACAGGGGTCGCCTAAGACCATTGGAAAACACATATTTCCAATGGTCTTAGGAACGGAGACACCGCTCCGCATCCGTCTCCGCATGGCCTCCTCCGCCATTTGCAGAGAGAGAGACAGAGAGGCACTTTCGCTTCCCTTCTCTCTCTCAGGTGGACTTACCTCCTGCAGGGCTCCTGATTGGCCCTGAGCCCGGGTGCCCCACCCCCTGGGAAAAGTGCGGCCAGAGCCTCGTGGCCTTGGAGCTGCCCGGAGAAGTCCCGGGATCCGTGCTGGGAGCGGCCCGCTGGAGGCTCCACTGAGCAGGCCAGCCCTCCTGCAAGCCGTGGCCGAAGGGAGACCAACCCCTGTGATCCCCAGCCAGCCCGACCATTGGCCCCACTGGCTGAGAAGGCGCGCCGGAGTCCAGGCTGCCGGGAAGGAAGAAGGAGATGCAGCAATGGTAGGAGACGAGAGAAAGAGAGAGGAAAGAGAGAAAGAAAGAGAAAAGAGAGAAAGAGAGAAGAGAGAGACGAAAGAGAGAAAGAGAAGAGAGAGAGAGGAAAGAGAAAGAGAAAAGAAAGAAAGGAAAGAGAGAAAGAGGAAAGAGAGAGAAGAGGGAGAGGAAAGAGAAAAGAAAGAGAGGAAAGAGAAAGAGAGGAGAGAGAGAAAGAGAGAAAGAGGGAGAGGAATGGCATTTCTCCAACCAGGCTGGGCGGAGCCAGCAGAGCGGCCTTCCTGCCCCCCCTCCCAGGCCAGCTGGATGGGGGTTGGGGGTCATCACAACATGAGGAACTGTATTAAAGGGTCACAGCATTAGGAAGGTTGAGAACCACTGTCTAGATAAAGGGTCTTACTAAGTCATACTTCTGTATCAATAAACTGTATTACTTCAGAAATTTAGAGGCTGTTCTGCTCGTTCTTGGACTTGCAGCTTTTAATTCTGTCTCACTGGCAGATCTCACCAGTTCATGGAACTGTGGTTCTACCAGGAGATGACAAGATTGAGAATGTGATCAGACAATGTGCATCAGAAATCCATGCTACAAGTCCTCTAAGATCACTAAGACATATTGTCCCAATGCATACCTATAAAACTAGAAAAGATTTTTTTTCAAAATTTGAATAAAATGATGCTCAAATTTATCTGGCAAGGAAAAAGAGCAAGGATTAAATTAAAAGTATTGCAGGATTCAAAGGAAAAGGGGGGGGGGTTGGCCTTCCAGACTTGGAGAAATACTACCAGGCTATAGCACTAGTATGGGTAAGAGATTGGATATTATTAAAGAACAGGAGACTATTATGTCTGGAGGGCCATGACCTACAAATAGGATGGCATGCTATATTATGGGATCATAAATATAAAATACATAAATATTTTCGAAGACACTATATTAAACAAGCTCTTATCGATGTAAGGATAAAAATTTGGCAACCAATTTATACCCATGTACCTAGTTGGATCACACAGTTAAAAATATATGTACACTCAAAATTTACCCAATTAGATAAGATCATAACATATAAAAACATTTTAGATGAAAGAGGGGAATTGAAATCCAGGAAAACCCTCCAGGATGAAGAGACAGAATTAGAATGGTGGGCATACCTGCAACTGCAGGCGAGATATTGGAAAGATAAAAAAGAGTTAGGCATTAAATTAGAACCAATAGAATTGGATAAAATAATATTGGGATCGGAGGATAAAATGATTAAAAAATTATACCACTATTTGTTAGATCTGGCAATGTATGAGGAACAAGTAAAAGTGACTATGTTAAAATGGAGCAAGGATTTTGGTCTTAATTTTGATCTACACATCTGGCAAGAACTATGGGCAAGAAACAAGAAGCTTACTTTGGCCACCTCTTACAAAGAAAATCTCTATAAAATGTTCTATAGATGGCATCTCCCACCCCTAAGATTAGCTAAAATGTGTCCTAATGTCTCCTCTAAATGTTGGAAATGTAATCTGACAATTGGAACATACTATCATATGTGGTGGGATGATTTTTGAATAGGATCAAAGAATGGTTGGAAGAAATATTAGAGCAAGTGGTAGAGCCAAAACCAGAACTTTTCCTATTAGGGATAACCACGCAAAAGTACGACAAAGGCGTACTTTATTTAATGTTACACATTCTAACTGGTCTTCCAGACTGGTCTTTGCTCAAAACTGGAGGAATAAAGGAATCCCAACGGAAGAAGAGATTCTGTATAAAATCCTCTCATGTGCTGAGATGGACAGGCTTACAATGATTATGAAGGACAAGACAGAACTCGAATACTTCAAAATCTGGGACAAATTTTACCATTGGTATGAATTAAGAAGAACTGCTGAGATCTCAAGTTAATGATAGGATTGAAATGTATATATAATTGTACATATAATTGTATATTTAATTGTATTACATAGAAGGATGAGGCTTATATAGAGGTTAAGAATGGTGTATTACCTTTTTGTACCACGAGAAACAAACTATTTGGAATACTTACTCTGGAATGTCACACTTGTCCAATTTTGTTTTAATTGTATTACAAATAAAAAACTTTTTAAAAAAAGATCACTAAGACATAGAAATGGAAGATATCTGCAGTCTTGATCCCCAACCTACTATAGCATGGGGTAGAAAAAAAAATACACAACGGGTGAGTGCAGAAATAAATTCAATCAAGGCAATTAATAAAAGGGGGGGGGGCAAAAAAAGTCTGTGACAGATTGGTACTAGAGCAAAAGGCAGCCAAAAAACTGAGCAACCAAAACTGTTTAGACAGAAGAAATGGAAGTGAATGTTTTGAGCAGGTCTTAGCCTTTTGGCATCTAGTCGGGAGTTGCACCTCTTTGGCAAGAGCTGGCTTTGCAGATGTGCTGCAGTTCTGTGGATGATCTGAGTGTGAATCTCAGCAGCTCAGCAACCTCTTCCCAGAAGCATTAAGAAAGCTGGCAGTGAGACAGTACCCAGTGTCCAGGTTCTTCTGGGGAAAGAAATTATGTGGGGAGGAAAATGAATGCAACCTCGTGTCTTTCATCATTTTTTTATTGTGTAAAAATAAACTCGACAATTCATGTAGTTTCAGCAATAAAATGGAGGGGAAAGCATGAAGAACTAGTAGAAACTGTGCATTTTAAGAACTGCTGATGTGTTCTCTGGATGTCAGATATAACAATAACTCTTTCAAAATCCAATAAAGACTAATAGCAAGAAATAGGAAAATATACAGCTTTGGTTAACAGAATGATAACTCAAGAAACATACTGTCTTTCACACTGTACAGTATATACAATTGTAACTTTATCCTCCCCCCCCCCTTTATAGGGCAAGTGGCATGCAATTTGGACTGAATTCGTTGACCATGTCACGATTTTCCCCCTTCACCAGATTATACTGAAAAAAGGTGTCAAAATAAGTTGCTTTAGCAGGTTGATCTTACAAGGTACAATTTGACTGGTCAGCTTAAAAGAGCACTGTTTAAGAAACGCTGCTGGGTGGTGTTATTTAAAAGAAAGCTATTTAGAGGGCTTCTTTTGGTGATTCCGTTTAGGTGGGCTTTCTTTCCCCTTAGCTCTCTTGCACAGCTTTGTCAGGTGAGGGACTCTACGACCCTCTTCACTGTAGGACAAGCAGCAGCTTTGTGTGCGAGTGCATCCTTAGCACTGAGTTGTTTCTGTGCCTATCCAATTGCATATGCATTTGCCACAGCTTTGGAGTTACTCAAAGGGTTTCGAACATCTTACAATCCTCTCCCTTTCTTTCTCACAGCCAAGGAAAAATGCCTTGACCAAGTTCAAAAGGGAAAGACCGATTGAAAAGGTTGAGGGCTGCAATACAGTCGTACAAACCAGGAAGTCTGTCCCCCCCTTTTTTTTTTTACAGAAACCATATAAAACATTATATATTTCAAAATAAACTTTCTTGTTCTGTCTACCCTTCCTCTGTAGTTTAAAAGCATTTTTCAGGGAATACCCGTTTATTTTCAATATATTCTTTTCTAATAAAAATACCCTTTTCTTGGTAAGTAAACTTTTTTTCTTAAATATATATAAGAGATCGTGAGTGCGTGTGAGTGTTTGTGTTAAACAAAAAGCCTGGATATATCGAACAATAGATAAACTGTCAAGGGAAGGTGAATGCTAGTTCAACTAATCTCACACTTAATCTGTGAATTTAAGCCTTCTTTGCAAGTAGGCTCCTTAGATGCAAATAGAACTTACTTTTAATTATGGATGTTTGGAATCAAATGGCAGAAGGAGGCTGATTCACTGACTGCCTAAAACAGAGGAAAGCTCACACAGTGGTCCGTACAAAACAAACCATGATGGCTTTTTTTTTTTGCCAGCGAAAACCCTCCCTAGGAATGTGGTGAAACTGTCAGACAATATTCAGGCAAACACGCGTGCTGCTTGTTTAGTGCTCATTTTGCTTGTATAAAAGGACATCACCTGAGAGAGGCATGAATTATTCAGTGCAAGAGGGAGCATCAATTGTATTAAGCAGTAGCCTTGGTTTTGGGGCAGGGTGGTCTGCTATCTAGTCCATGTCCAGGAAAGCAACACTGAAAGTCTCTTTCCGAGGAAATCTGGCATGGAAGAGGCTACCCCAAAGTGACACTAAAGGGGACAACCCCAAGGACATGCACTTCGGTAAATATCAGTTAATCTGATCCAAAAGCACAGTGTTCATTGAGCAACAGAAGGGCATAAACAGCACCTCTTTGGAATCACTCGGGTGCTGAATGGAGAACGCTAACATCCCAAAACATTTGGGGTAAGAGCATGCTGAAAGAAACAGTCCCCATTGATATGAATGTCAACAAGTCCATTGCTCGTCTTTTAGGTGGTGGTTGTTGTTGTTTTTAAGGTCATGCTTTTATCAGGGGGAAGAACACGGCATGAGTAAACTGCCTTTTGTCCAGCCACCCCTGACCTCGACTAATGTGCTTGAATGATTTCTTTTTAAAGCATGAACTATTGCTTGGCAAACGCCCCCACAGCTCTGCAGTAGCCCATGCAAGGAGGCAAGCATTAGATTGAGGAAACACAATTGAGGCTCCTACTGAAACATGCAAGAAATGGCAGTGCACCCCTGGTCTCCCTAGAAGCCTGCAGAAATCTAAGAGTACCATAAATGGGAACCAAAGCAAGGAACATCACTGAACTGCAAGTTGTTGCCACTGAAGATGTGTGTTTGTGTGTGTGCAGGGGAAGTAGGTTCTTTTATCTAAACAAAGCACAACCCCATAGGAGAAGACAACCAAGATGCCTTCCTATTTTTAGGTCCTTTTCAAGATACCCTTAATACAATGGATTTTACAACAGAAATGCACCTTGTCTCCTTCACAAAAGTTTGCGAAGAATCTACTTTTTCATTCGGGCCACTATTCCTTGTATGCTTCAAAAGTACAGCACAGGGTTACTTCCAAAAAGATTCATGAAAGGCTGTACAGCTGTCCCTCCTCCATCCTCTGGGGCTATGGAGCAAAACCAAGACTGGCCCTTCGCTTGGCTGCTTAGCTCTGTTGGCTGAAATCTGTTCTTCCATTCCCTTTCACCTCTCAAAAAGGAAACTGTTTGAACAAATTGACACAGCACCTGACACAGGGCCCTTTAGGGAAAGGTCCAAGCAAGGCTCATTGTACTAGGCTATCCTTCCCCCTGTAATGATGCCCCATTTATACTGAAAAGACAAAATTCTCAGTTTGCAAGTATGGCCATGGAAGTCAGAAGGTAACCACATACTTTGGATCTGACTCCTGTTCCTCCCCGCCCCTCCCTCCCTCCTCCCCCCCAACAAGCCCTTCAGATTTATGGCTCTTAGAGTAAAGGAGGTTAAGCAAGGGTGTGGAATGTCTCAAAGGGATGAGAAAATGATCCCATCTCTCTGTCAAGTCTTCCATTAGAAGTCCAAGATGCATTGTTTTTGGAGGGGAAGAGTTGGCTATGAAATTGAGAAGGGAAGGTCAACCAGGAAGGGGTTTGGGAATTCACTGCTGTCTTCAGGCCACATTGCTTTGGAAGAAAGAGTAGCTAATGTCTCTGGGATGATGGCTCTCTAGACTTCACGTAAGCTTGATGGCTAACAGAGGCAGATCCTTTTAGGCTTTAAGCAAAATAAAGGCAGTGTAGGAAAGCAGGCTGTTTTACAGCTGCATTGACATGGATTAGCAACAGCTGCTCCTACAAATTATCCCAGATCTGGACAAGCCACCCAGGATCCTCAGCTTGGCAATGCTCCCGAGTCTTACCTGTACATTTGAAAGGGCAAAGATGGCCCTGTCCTATTCTGGCTTTAGCCAGTAGTGAACACCACTGGTGAGGGACAGTAGAGGACCTGATCAATTTTAAAAAAATAAACCATTCCCTCCCCTCATATCCTTATCCAGCCTCCTTATGCACCATTCAAAAGCTTTTGCCATCCCATTAACTTGGAAAACTAATTGTAAATACAATTTTTTTTAAAAAAAATCAGTATCTGCCTAGAGGAGAATGGCTGCTTAAAAGACATCGAGTAGAGTAGGAATATATAGAGATAACCTTTAAAAAGTATATGCAAATGAAGACAAATGTGCTGAAAGAGTTGCACCAGCCCAAAGGCACTCAGGCTTCAAACGAAGTTGGCAAGCCAGAAAAACCAGACCATTCATCTTGTGACGTCATAAAGCAGTGGGAGAAAAAACTAGGAACCTTCTCATTTTTTTGTCAGTTTGCAAAGTTCCAGGTGGTCTTAGAATGGTATCAAGAACTCCATGTACATTTCCTAGATTCCTAGACTTCCCCCCCCCTCCCGATAAAATACTGGTTCTTTAGGACAAGTAACATGATTTTCGAAAGTGACAGAAAAGAAAAAAAAGGAAGGCAAGTTGTCTGTAAATCATTCCTGGATGAGAAGAATGTCTGTTCACCTGGGGTTGAGTGGATCTGGGAGAAGGAAAGGGAAAGTGTGGCAGATTTAGTTGATCTGACGGCAGGCTTCAAATGTCCATTTGGTGGCTCCACCGTAAATATCAATGTTAGTTTCAGACCAGGCTATGACACTCCCAGGCAGGGCTTTGGTGCTGCAAGTAGCCAAGTTGTAGACCTCCCCTGGGGTGAGCTTTCGGTCCCAGATGTTGAAGTGAGCAAGTTCTCCCACAAATGCCTGGGTGGCATCAAATCCACCACCAAGTGTATCCTTGAATGGGAAAAAAAAATGAAGATCAAAGGTTTGAAAAGGTCATTCTCTGCAAACAGGTGCAGCATCATGTACACAGGGTGCTTTTTCCTTCTCCAGAGAATGAACGCGGCATTGACCATCTTAAAACCTGTTATAATAAACACTTGAAATGAGCCAGAAAGATTTTCAGGTAGCAAGGAAAGGTCAGCTAGAATAGACTGCATTAAAGAAGCTCAATGAGAAATTGAATAAAGACAAGAATGTTCAGTCCCTGAAGTGCATTTTCTGTGGAACATATAGAACTGTTCTAATATTCCTGGTGTGCCTTAAAGAGGTAAGGTAGAAAATGTTCGTAAGAAAATCCATCCCATTCCTATTTGCTTAATAATCAGCTACAAGAATTGCTTTTTTAATGCCCAGATTTTTAAATAGCTACGTACTGAATTATTGTTCTTTCACCCTATCTCTAACTGGCTATATTTATGTTTGTTCTTTCTGCTGCTATGTAATAATGTGTACCAATATTTTTAAATTGATTCTGAAAACTTTTAAACTTTTCAGTGAAATAGTTACCGTGTCAAAGCAAGAATATACAGTATTTGTCCTTCTATCTCTGACAACTGAGTTTCCTTCAGGTGGATGAGTGGTATTGTTAAGGAGAATTTATCCATGTTATTTGAGTTGTAAATGGTCAGGAAAACAACAGCCTGCTTTTATGAAGTGGGAGGGGAAGAATCTGAGATGATTTGGGATTGGTAATTACATGGAAATATTCAGGTCAGTCTGAATCTATGATATGATGACCAGAACTCCCCAAACATAGTACTATCATACAGCAGAAGTGACACATTGACATTTCTGTGTAAACCCCTCTTTCCTTATCTAATACCTTCAAAATATATTGGAACTGCAATGCACAGGTAGCTGAGAAATGGATGATTACAACTGAACATATCCCAAAAGTACAGGTTAGCAAAAACTGATACAGATTACTGATTAGTAGTTTTGGTGCCTAAGTCTTATTGCAGAAGAATCTCTTGGAAATGTTATTTGTGCAGTAGGAAAAATCTATGCTAATGTATTTTATAATATGCAGTTGTGTGTAGAGATGTGTATATAGAGCTTAAATACGTGGCACAAAAAGAAATGGATTAATCTTCTTCAGCTCCTATGCATTCTGGATTCCTCCTCATTTAAGCATTTTTCCTACTGTCCCACCCATCCACCAATCTTAATTTCCCTTCTGCTATTATTTTGAACAAAGTAAATTCTACCATCTTTACTATTGGGGAACAAAGCTTGGAAATTCTATCACAAGTCTGGGAAATCTATTCATATCTAACCAATTAAAAGCTGAAACTCAAGGGAACGTAGCTGCAGGAAACATTATAATGTATGAACAAAGCATGCTTTGGCTGTTAAGGTATTTTGATATGATCAGGTGATGTTAGCACCAGGAGCCTGTGACTAGGATGATCAGACCTAAAACAGAAGAGCATAAAACCCTCAGTCCCAGCTGATTTCAGTACGCACACATATACACAATCTGGAATTGAAGGGGATCTTGTATCAGGTTGGAACAATTCAGAAGAGCAAATCCTGAAGTTACTAAATGCAATTAAGACCTGAAGTGGAAGTTTTCTCTATTTCTAATGCTTAGCACTTTCTACCCTAGTCTTTATATGAAATGACAGCAAATTACTGCAAGGATGAGCAGATCATTATTTATGTAGATCACTGGGTGATCTGCAGCAGATGGGCATGGATTTTTTTTTAACAGCAGTAACTATAACCTGCCCTCCATCAAAGCGTATTGCAGAAATCGGGGGAAAAAATGGAGGGTGACTAGGAGGGATAGCCAGGAGTCTTTTTGTATGTATATTAGAAGATTATGAATGGCATTCAGTTCTGGCATTCAAAACCATTTTTTGGACTTCACATTTTAATTATGTGTGTTACACATGGTCTCATTTGGTGGATCTCAAGATTTTAGTTCTAAGCCCACAAATCCGACTTCTGCTTATCCCTGCTGCAGAGAATAGCCATTTGCTGTGATCACTGCACAACCTTACCTGTTCCTGCCCCAACACTAGGACCCCTTGGGGCTTGATCGGGTGATAAGGGGCCAGGTTTTCCCCATTGCCTCGCTGGGTGCCATCCTGATAAGCTTCCCAGACACCATCCCGAGTTGTCCATGCAATGCAGATATGGTGCCATTTCCCATCATTAATGACAAAAGGAAGCTTTGCTACCTGAGGAAAGAAAATTGAAAGAATTGCTGCAGATATGCATTTCCCCCAATATATTGTGCACTGTATTGGAGATCTGGCCGCTGACCCCTTCCAAGTCTGTTGTATTTACTAAGATGGAAATTTTGCCAAATCTCCATAGTAGCCATGGGACTTTTTGAGCTCCATTTTACATTATCTGAAGGATAAGAAAAGTTTGCAGTCTAAAGCAAAATGCACTTATCCGGGATCGATCCTTTTGAATTTAATAAGGTTCACTTCTGAGTAACCATGAACAGAATGGCATCGGAAGTACAGTTTATGAGAATGCTTGTTTTATGTTCAAGGACACAGAATTAGATTTGCAGGTTTAAATACCATGACAATAAGGAAACAGGTCTGAAAACATTGTCATGTATTTCTACAGTTCTGGAAATTTGAGAAAATGAGAGTTGATTTCTTCAGTATTTAAAACAGAAGTCATTTGTTAAGCCTCAGAAGAATGTATTGCTTGAGTTGGAATATATCTTGATAAATTTGGGGAGGCACAGTGTAATTGAAAGGATGAAACAAACAAGCTGGTCATATTTATGAGAATGTCCAAATTTTCACTAAAGTTAGAAGTTCTCCTTTTTTGTTTTAAAAACTACATTGTGCATAATAGTCCTTCTTGAAATGTTGGTCAAATGAAATAGTTTAATTCAGAACCATATAAAAAACTAGATTTATTTTACTTGCCCTAGAGAATATATTGAAACTTGAAGTTTTTTTAACAACTCATCTTGTCTTCTTACATTAAAAATAGAACTGTGTTTTAATACCAGTACTTATGGTATTATTTAGCACCAAAGATTTGCAAACACATTCCTCATGTGCAAATGATATTTGGAGAACAAGTGCAAAGCTTTCATTGTTTATCTACATGTTTAATGAGTAATTTGCCTCCTTTAATTTTCATTTATTAATACATGCATATTTCTTCACTGAAAGAATGACACTTACCTTGTCATTGATAAGGATCTCCATAGGATTATTACCCCATTCAATAAGTACCAACTCATTGGCTTGTCCAGGTACTGCATAAGAGAAGGGTGTACCTACACCTGGAGAGGCATTTGATTTTATCCACGTACAAATTGTAAATGCATACATCTCTGGCAAGCTTTTCTTCACTTTTGCGTACATGTAATTGGTTCTCAAAGGGAAGGTCAGCTGAAATTTATCCGTTGGCCTATTCTCTTTCTGACCTGGAGGAAAATAAGAAAGGGAGTTTGCTCTGTGTTTGCATAGTTACTAAGGCTGTGATGCTAATTCATTTATCAGGAAGCAAGTTTAATGAGATTAATTTCTGAGTAGACATGCACAGTATTATGGATAGTTCTACTGAGGCAGTGCCAAAGATATGGACTGAAGCTTTGTAGGAATGCCTTCTCAGCATCAAGGCTAGCACACATAGACCTGAACACAGTTTACCTTAAAATTTATTTCCTCTCTTTTTCTTTCTTTCTTCTTTCTTTCTTTCTTTCTTTCTTTCTTTCTTTCTTTCTCTCTCTCTCTCTCTCTCTCTCTCTCTCTTTCTTTCTTTCCATTATATAATGAGCCTTAAGATGGCAGTATTCAAATCCCTCCAACACATTTCAGCACACTAATCCTAATCACATGGGCAGCACTTAGAAAAAAGGCTCTTTTTCTCATTTCGCTCTTTTTACTCTTAATATCTTTTTATATCTCTATCTCTCTATATACACACACAGTAGGAGCAACGAATGTAAATGGATGCAGTGATTTTACTGGAGTCTGAAGAAAAAAAAAGTGCTATTGCTTGTTCTAGGTCACTTAGAGGATAGAACTCAATCTATATAAAGCAGTTATATTAAGGCGTGTGCATTAGGTACTATCTGCTAAGATACTTCACTAATGAATAGTATTTTTTCCCATGTGGACCAATATTATTTTAGAAAAATTATATAGAACCTATTTATTGCCCTTCCCAGTTTCATAAACTCACAATTCATCCCAGGATAGTAACTGCTGCTACTAAGGAATGTAAATTACAGTGGTGTGTGTGTGTGTGTGTGTGTGTGTGTGTGTGTGTAAGGACATGCAAAAGCCACTTTCCTCCAAGTGGGTCACTATTCAGAATAAGCCCTACCTATTTCAATCCAGGTTGCTTTACCTTTCTCTAAGTCACTGATCCTTTGGTGAAGAGAAGTTAAAGTGCTTTCTATTTTCCCTCTTTCTTCAGACTCATTCTTGGAGTTGTACTTTCCTTCTTCCAGGCTGTTAATTCGAGAGAGCACTTGCTTTTCCAAATCATCAATGTTGTTCTGAAGTATATCCTTCAGGGAATTGGTTTGGCTCGAAGAATTCATCCTACTGAATTGCTGTGCAAGGTTGGGGGAGAAGCAAAGAGAGTAAGTGGATTGGGGAAAACCAAATTAACACCATAGCATTATTTTCCAGAAGCTCGTTCTGAGACTCACTACTCTGACACAGCTAAACTCATTCAGAGCTTACCGAGTGAAAGAGCAGTGCTGTATTAAAAAGAAGCACGTCAATCTGTTAAAGAATTGGGCGATGGAGAATATTTTGAATGGGATGGTGAATGTTTTGCCTCCGATGCAGGGCAAAGCTGCACCATTAAAACAAGGTGGAAATCAGCAAAGACTGGACAACTCACAGCGAACTCTGAAGTGTCTGCTTGCCTAGATTTAAGAAATAACAAAAAGGAGAAAGTTGTACCTCCAAGTTTTCTAGCCTTGTTTTGAGCGACTGCAAAGTTTGCCCAAGTTGGCTCAGTGTTTCAGCAGCTGGAATCCGGGAGAGATCTCCCATCGTGTTTTTGGAAGAGCCGGTCTGCTTTCTGCCGGAGCCCCCACCCGTTTTAGATTCACCAGGGCCCGCTTCTACAGTGCTTTGGCTTTCACACCTGCCCAATTTCGTGGTCAGTTCCCTAATGGTTTCTTTCTGGTTCATAATGGTCTCTTTCTGCTGGAGCACCGTTTCCCGGAGCTGTAGCACTGTGGTCTTCATGTCTTCGGTGCTACCGCTGCTCTGCATAGAAGAGGTACACATGTCCATATCCACCGGCACCGAGGTGCAGATAAACCGAGTCTGTCCAAAATTCTGGGCGCATCCTTTTAAGTAGAAAAGGGAGACCAACACGAAGCTGCAGCGGACCACGGCAAACATGACCGGAGCAGACATCCCAAACAGCGCGGAGCTCCGGGAAAAAAAAATGGCAAAAGGAGTTTCAGCACCATGGAACTATCCACCGAACTGCTGAGCCGATTGCGGTACGCGGGCTCCTTTTATAGAGGGCGGGAGGGGCTACAACGCCACTGACGTCATAATAGGGTGGAATCCCTGTTTAATTGCTCGGTAGCCCTCGAGTTTCCTGATTCAGGAGGTCTGAGTCAAAATAGAGGGACACTGAGTAGGTCTGGTGATTGCACGTACTTGCTGCTTTCCTCCTTGCGATAAATGGAACGGCGCGCAGGGACAACCTGCGGGGGGGAGGGAGGGGGCGCGGCCTGCGCACGCAAGGAAAGAACCGGCGCCCGGTCGGATGCGTAAGGCGTGCGCCTGTGCGGCAGGGCAGGTTCTCTTCGGACGGTGGGAAATTGCTGTTGAGGACCGCGTGCCTCGAGGGGTTTTTAAGCACAGAAGCAGATCTGCGATGGGCTCCCGGAATTACTCTCCAACAATTCTAAGAAAGTGGCCGCTTGGAAGTTCTTCGGGCAAAATGTAGCGGCTGTCAGGAATTGGAGGGCTATGTTGTGAATGCATGAGGGAGGTGCGCTGGGTATCCGCCTATGTGCAACTTTCCCGTGTGAAATTGCAATAATTGCTGTCTAACGCGTGCTTATGTTCAAGAGGGGAATGCCTAGTGTGTAAAATGGAGGCGGGTTATCATCAGGACAGTCTCGTTTTAAACGTAATTTGGGACTGCAGGACCCCCCGTAGTCCAGGACCCCCATAGGACCGTCTAAAGATACAGGGGGGGGGCTCGTTTGTAGTGTGCGTCTCAGTCGAACAGAAAACCTGTGTCTTTCGGTGGTCTATGGAACGTAACTTTTCTCCCTGTGTACTACTTAAGCCGAGCTGCTACCGCAGCTTTAGGTTTGCTACTGTACTGCGTTTGACAAGAGGACGTCAGATTTGAACGAGTCAGTTCTAGGAGGGCAAACGAAAAACGTGCGGACGACCTAAAATAGTACGTAAGAGCGAGATAACGAGAGCGAGAGCCCGAGGTTTGGGCAAACTAGCAAAGAGAAGCGAAGTCTCTCTCCGCTTCTTCACCTGCCCGTTTCGAGAGAGAGAGAGAGAAAGAGAGACCAACGTGCCTAACTATAATTTTAGTTCTCTTTTCCGATTCCTTTTTCCCCCGGGGACACCCAAGAAAGGTTTCATTTTGGCTCGCGGCGAGGGTGGGGAAGGATTGTTGTTCTCTCCACGTGGAACCGGCCGGATTGTGAGTCGAGGAGCGCAGTTTGCTCCCCCAAAAAACTTGCCACGGCCGATCTTCGGTCGCTCTTCTCTGTGATAAAAGCAGAATGGCTCCGTGGCCTGGTTTGGCAGCTGAAAGCTGCGCTTGGGAGTTTGGCAGCGCGGCGTCCCTCCGGCCCTCGCCCTCGCCCCTAGAGGCAGGGTAGGCCTCCCTCTCTTCTTTCCCGAGCGGAAATGGGAGAGAGGAGGAGGGCGGGATGTCCGCATCACCTACTGGAGCAGGGGTTCTCAACCTTGGCGACTTTAAGACTTGTGGACTTCAACTCCCAGAATTCCTCAGCCAGCTTTGCTGGCTGAGGAATTCTGGGAGCTGAAGTCCACAAGTCTTAAAGTTGCCAAGGTTGAGAACCCCTGTACTGGAGCGAGAAGGACGGGATGTTTTTTGTAGACTCCAGCGCCACTACCGCCCCGCACCCGCGCCGCCGTCCTTTGCACCCTTTCCCCGCCCTTTCCAAGCCAGGCGATTGGCTGCTAGGAAAATAACTTTCCCGCGACCACCGCCCGCCTCGCGGGAAGCGCTTTCGGCGCTGTCAGCGGAAGAAACTCATTCCCTCTCCTTCTGCCTCCTGGCATCAGCTTGGCCCGCCTTCCAGGACTTGGCAGAGTGCCTGGGCCCTTCCCGTGCGGGGACGGCCTCCAGGCGCCTCCGAGGCGTCCCTCCCAGGCTGCCGGGACCGACGCTTGGTCGGCTAGGCGCGACACCCAATGACGGGGCTGGGAGAAGAGCGCCCTGCGTGGCCGGCAAAACTCAGCCTTCCCTGAATAGCACCCGGACAGTGACCCGGAGGGCGGATTAGGTTTTGAAGGGACGATTCACAAGCCCGAATCTTGCTATTGGAAAGCACCCCACTTTAACGATAAACTTCCTAACACCGAGGACAATTAACCAGTGGAACAGCTTGCCTTCAGAAATGGTGGGCGCTCCATCACTGGAGATTTTTAAGACGACACTAGACAGTCACTTGTCTGGAATGGTATAGTTCTCATGCCCGAGCAGGGAGCTGGACTAGAAGACCTCCAAGGTCCCTTCCATCTCTATTTTTTTCTAACATCGTTCGTTTTGATAACCGTGAGGATGAGGGTGAGGAGGACAGTGGTTCTGAACGCTTCTAAGTAGGGATCAGAAGAAAGATGTTTCCCAGCCATCATTAACCCAACCCCCCCCACACACACAGTTACAATGGAGAGCTGGCAACACGAAATAATGACAACAATCTCCTCAAAATATCTTGTTAATCTTTGGGGTTGATTCCCCATTCAGCTTGTGGTTTGTCCTGCTCCAGAGTAATCCTACTAGATTTATGGCAGTGGAAAGTAGGTCACTGTCTCTGCTAGACTTTTGGGGCTTTATTAGCTAAAAGGATACCTTCAGCCCCACCTCCCACCTCATGCATGGGTGGGCTTCTGGGTCATCTTAACCGAAATGAGATCATCAACCTGTCACTCTCTAGGAATAGAGGACTCCAGTCTGTCCTACATATTTTCTCCTCCCTCTCTCCTCTTTCTCTTTTCTTAGAGCAACCAGATCAAGGCTGCAAACATCTGCTCATGAAATAGCAGCAAGGTTTCTATATTTCTTTGCTGTCGTCTAATGGTTGCCTGGATTTATGTAGCCTTATTTTTTCACAGGCAACAGACAAAAGTAGGCATTCGTGTTTCTCAAGTGTGCTCCTGCCTTGGAAATTTTCAGAGGATTTGAGTAGAGCAGAGAATGATAAGGCAATCTAGACAGAGTGAGGGTGGGGTGGGGTGGGTGGGCAACTATTGACCCTTTACAACCTGTGTTCAACTCCTAGAATTCCTGAGCCAGCCATGCTCAGGAAAGGGGCCGTTGTTGCCCACCCCGGTCTAGAATCATTTCTTGCATCCAAGGCTTCATCTGAAGAAACTTAATTTAATCCCTCTTGGGCTTTCTTTTTCATTTCCATCAATCATTCTTCATCTCATCTATGCTTGTGAAAAAAGGGACAGAAAGATGGGGAATGGGTAAATTATGTAAACACTCAAGGATAGTGGTTGAGAAAGGCTGCCTGAATATTTCAGTACTTGTGCAGTGCTCTACCTGACCTCATTCAGAAAATTTAGGAACTGCCGAGTTAGATCCTCAGGCCTATAATGATTCTTGAGTGGACTCCCTTCCCATTCTTCAACCTTGGAAAGCTGTGCTTTCTTTTTTCTCTGTTGTTTCCCTCTCTCTGAAGGCAGCATTCTTTCCATCTACTTTCTTAAAGTACTTCTCTCCTGTTTTGAAAGCTTTAGATTCAAACGTAGCAACTAATCTGAAGCTTGGGGTGTTTTCTGCCATTAACGCCTGTTTGGTTCCTTAAGGAAATGCCAAGAAAGATTCTTCTAAAGCCTTCTAAAGCCCTGACTAGAGCTGCTGGGAATCATAGTTCAGTAATATCTAGAGAGCCACAAGCTCTCTCTGTTCCTTCTTTAAAAAAATTACATGTATTTCTTAACGGTCAATACAGTGTCGTCTATAAAACTATCCTTGGTGGTGAGGGGAATTGCTGCCTTGAGACATTGATTCCTTTCTATATGAACAAGCAGATTCTGCTTGTGCTGGCAGGGGAATCAGACAGTTCATCCTCATGCAGGTCAAAGAGATATACCCCTTTGTTTCTGCTCTAAGAACCCCTGGATTTGTCAATGAACCCAGGCTCAGCCTTAAGCATTAACCAGGAGTGGCTCCACTGAGCACCTCTTAAGAGGGAGTTGAAGCTGGCCTCCCTAAGAAAGGGAGACAATAGCAGCAGCAGCAGCAGCAAAGCTGTCATCAAGGGAGCTGCAAAAACCAGAAAACTCAACCCTGCCTCCCTCCAAATGCACATGTTCTGGGCCAGGAGCCAGCAGGCCCTAGTGCTCTCTTGGAGCTCTCTCCCCGCCTGTGATTCATTGTCGTCACAATCTGGAAGAGGATGTTACACTTTGCAAGGCTCCCAGGGACAAATGAAGGAGACTCTGATGGTGTTTCAGGCTGATGCATAGACGGACGGGAAATGTAACTGGTAGGAATCCACACGTATTCATGGAAAAAAGAATTACTGCTGTTTGGGGAAAAAACAACTTACTCCTTGTTTACACCAGCGTTTCTTCAATTGGTGCTCTTCAGATGTTTGGGCTATACGTCCAGAAGTAACAAGTAACCAAAGGCTGCATCTGGAAGCTGCCCTATAAAGAACATGAGTTTAAAGAATGAAACACTCAAGGAATCCAGGGTTATTGACAAATTCAGGGGTTCTTAGAGCAGAAACAAAGGAATGTATCTCTTTGGCCTGCATGAGGATAAATTATGTAATATACATTTCCCTGCAAGGACATTAAATCAAGATAATGCTTCTATATAATTAGCTCATATAGAAATAGCTACTTTCAATATGAACAAGCTAGAATCTGCTTGTTCATATAGAACAGGGGTTCTCAACCTTGGTAACTTTAAGACTTGTGGACTTCAATTCCCAGAATTCCTCAGCCAGCAAAGCTGGCTGAGGAATTCTGGGAGTTGAAGTCCACAAGTCTTAAAGTTGCCAAGGTTGAGAACCCCTGATATAGAAAGAAATCAATGTTTCAAAGCAGTAACAATTCCCCTCACCTCCAAGAACAGATTTATGGATGACACATTGACATGAATGAAGGCAAATATACGTGTCCCAGGATCATGTTGCAGGATCTTATCTGGGTCAATCACTGGACCAAGGTTTAGTTTTAAAAGTTTTTGGACTCATGCTGGAGCCCATCTTCAGGGAACTTCTTTCTAGCAGAGTGTGTGCTTTGAGCTATT